AAGCAGATATTTCATAACAATTCAAGTCAGTGAAACGATAAGGAAAGATAGGCGACTTAGTTCTAGGTTCTCAATTTAAATATCAGAGGTAAACCACCGACAACACTCTGTACTACATTAGAAGAGGGATCAACCTTTGGATGGCGCAAGGTTTCCGGCGCGGGCTCAACCGAGTAGCGCGACAGCACCGCCGCCATACCCGCTAGAGACTGCATCAGACCGAGTCTCTCACCTGGAATAACAAATATTAAACAACAACAAATCAAAAAGATCACAAAAAGTGTCGAGTTCGCTATATGAATACATATTTGGAATTGAATCTATAAAATCTATGTGACTATACTACTTACTTTGTTTAAAACTGTAAACTAAAGATTACAAAATGTTAACGTACCAATACATGCGCGAGGTCCTTCTCCAAATGGTAAAAATATATGTTTTGTCATGGGATGAATGTAATCAGTCAAGTGGCGATCTGGTCGGAACTTCTCTGGTTCGTCGAAATATTCAGGATCTAAGTGAAAGCCCTGCAGGGGTATGAGTATCGACACCCCTTCATCAATAGTAAGATCCAGGTCGGGGAAGGTGTATTTACGAGAGCACTTTCTTATCAAGTGACCTAATGAAGGAAATATTCGCATTCCTTCCTTAAAAGCGCAATGTAAATATTGCATTTCACTAACTGCATCATAGCATAGTTTGTTATCGTACTTCTTCAAAACTCTATCAATTTCTGCTTGCACTTTCCTTTGCTCCTCAGGATTGTAAGCAAGTTCATGTAAAGTATAACTCGTAGAAGATGATGATGTTTCGAATCCCGCGCCGAAGAACAAAAACATTTGAGCCGCTATAAGTTCTTCGGTAAGTTCTAATGATACTTCCTCTGGCTTACCGTCTGGTTTAATCTTCTCTACAGATTGAACAGCCAATTTCCCTTTTTTTCTGCTTTCAAGCAACAGATCGACAAAATCGTTTCTCCCACACGGTTCATAATTTCTCTTTTGCAAAACATTTCTCACTAGAGAGTAAGTAACCTTTTCGACTTTACCATATACTCTTAAATATTTAAAGGTTTCTGGAAACAACTCCTTGAGCACTTGCTTAACCATTTGACTCACTTCAAACTTAAAAATATCGACACCTAATTTTCTAAAAACAGAATCTTCTTCACCGAGAGAATTCATGTCTAGTCCGAATCCGACAGCGCCAATGAAGTCAGTGGTATAGCGTGCCATTAGTTCACGAGAATCCAGCACTCGTCCTGATGGCGGTGCATTGATTGCATGGCTCATCAACCGTTCAGCACGCTCCACGATGAGCGGAAACATTGCCTTCAGTTTGCCGCTGGTGAATGCGGGAGTCATGCGCTGCCGCAACAATTTCCAAAGATCTCCATCAGCCATAAAGAGATGTCTCAAAAGAGGCTCGACAACAGTTTTGTGAGTGTTGAGACCTCTCATGTAAAAATGTCCAAAGTCTGTAACGTGAATGCGTTTTACAAGTTCTGGATCTCTTATAACAAGTTCCGGGCACGATGCACGATAAAAACCCACGACCCTCTCCTTAGGATACTTCTAGTACATTTCCGTGCCAATTTGTGACATGCTCTTCTTCATTAAGAACATTGGCAGGTTGTTTCCGAAGAATGGTATCGGCTTGTCATGTTTGATGCCTCTCTTTTGCCAGTATCTGAAGGTCCTCGTACCGTAGAGGTATAGAGCAACAGTCAGTACGACTATGACTGCTAAGACGTACATGTCTAAAAGATGCCACTACCAAAACAGACTTCCAATTTATACGTAGCTTTAACTGTCGATGTAGAGATAATACGTTTCGCGAATATTATTTTTATAATTACACGCAATGATACAAAGAATTTGTGTTTGTTTGTCAGGTCGGTGGTTAGTTTACAAGCGCTAATCTCAGAAAGCTATCATGTCACAATTTGTCTGTTGAGCCATTTTCAATTACTTTTGTAATTAGATACCATTTGTAGAAATTACTGTGGGTTAGTATGCACTAAACTCGAAAACGGTTTAACCTATTAGGATCAGTTTTCACATAAGTAATAGTTTATTAAACTAAGTATTATAAGTAGTTAGTTGATTCAAACATCGATTTATTGGAAACTACTGATATACTCGTGTGTGTACCTCAGATTTATTTAATTAAACAAAATGATATATAGTTAGGTTAGTTCTTTCTGGATGAAATTATTTCGCGAACGAGGTTGCGGACGGCAACTAGTTTTGTCCATATTCTGGCACAGCTAAGTGAAACAACAGCGTTACTATCAGTAGTATTATATTAATTTTGCAAATGTCATGATGACTTTGTTGCAAATTGCAAAGTCATTATGATTTGCTTGTGACAAGCAAATATAAATTTGAGTTCTGAAAATCTACATTTGAGTTGCGCGAAATGATGAACGTAAGACACAGGTAGAGTTCATTTTAAGAATAAGTGCATAAAGGTATTTTTTTTAGTTTTAATTTTGAATTATGGTTGAATTTCATTTGACGATTGTGCGTGACGGAGATTTAATTTTACTCTACTTTCCGTCACCTTCGGCAAGGATGGAGAGAAGTGGATTGATCAGTGGAGGGGACGCACATGAAGATAAAATATCCTCTTTATCTGCGCCCCATTCTTTACCAATTAGGAGAAGGTACGCATCCAGGTAACCGCTTGCTTGCTAAAAATATCTGAACAGGTTTTACCATGTCAACCAATCTGTTTTCTATGTGTGTTCTTCTAATTAGATTTAAATTAAATTTTATTCATAAGTATAAGTTTTTTATTTAAGACAGTGAGCTTAGACTTTTAATTATTTTACAATTATATACATTGTTAATGTAAGTTTCACTTGTAAATGTTGAAATCTCATTGGTTGCTGTTATGTTGTTAACACTCCGCGATTACAGTTGTCTAAATTATAAAACGAAAACGTGAATGTCTGTTATAACTACGGCATAATAAACGAACTTCGCTAGCCGTTTGTTCTTAATTTGTAATGATCGAGGTTATTAACAATAACAAAGTAGGTAATGTTAAAATTAAATTTGATCATCTGAATGAAATACGCCTTTTTACTGAATTGTAATTGTACATAAACGACAAAAGTTTCTTTTTTAATATTTTATTTCAATTACGTCTAAAATATAATACACCAAATATTACCCGATAGAGCACTTTAACATTTTTAAACTAATTAGTTAAAAAAGTAACACATTTTTCATAAACAACATTGCATAGTTTAAAAACAATAAAATGAAACAAATTCAGATATCAAAATACTTGTAAGACCTTTTTTCCACTGAACTATTTCTACATATATCATGGACTAGTGAAAAAGGGTGCTTAACATTTCTACATCGCTATGGACCAACTCTTACAATACTTGTCGGCCTTTCCCATTTTTCCCTTCTATTTTCCTTCATTTATTTAGTTGATAACAATGTCGTGTTACCATTTCAAAAAGCCGTAACATTTACACAAAGTCATATCGCTGTCTCTCTTATACCGTTTGAATAAAACAGAGATAGAACTGAGGGTATAGGTATATTTCAGTCTGTATCCAAATTCTCAACTTCAGATACATTTAATGGAAGATATATTTTTTTTCTTGTGCGCTTTTCAACGTAATAATAATTAAGCACCAAGAGGGAAGTTCAAGGAAGAAGTAGTACTTATTTCCTTAGCATAAAAGTTTATTTTATAAAATGTATCAAGATGTAAAGATCACAAGATTTTAAATAGATTATTTTAATTAAGTGATGTTAGCGTTTCATTTCTGTACGAAAATGTTCAGAATATCCTAAATAACCTAAGAGTTAGTGTTTTTGTATTTAGAGTGGATGAAGACGGACGATTAAGGTGTGGTAGATCGGACTAAATAAAATCGGTGAAAACTACCTACCTTTCTAGGATACGGGCGTAAGTGTTAAATTTAACTAAACTGAAATAAAATTCAAACGAGCATCGTCACGATGGCCAACACATCTTAGCAAAAAAAGGTTTCATTAACATCGGTAACTTATCGGTACTTAATATTCTCATACATCACATAATGTAAAACTTAATGATTTATTTTGATCATAAGTCATTAATTTTTTATCTAATTTTGTCGAAGCCTCATATCTTATCGTCTTTCTGTTTACACATCAGTGCACACACACATCAGTCAACATAGTTACACACTTACGTACAAACGATAAATCCGTATATCACTAAAATACCCTTATAATATAGTTAAGTCTCTACATTGTAGATAATTTCCACACAATTTCGAACTTGTTAGGATTTTTTACTTATCACTGGGAATCAAGTCAAATTCCACAAAGTTAAAAGTATTGGCGCAATATAAATTAGTCAATTAGTTCAGCACAGGTGGGACTAGAATAAACACATGTGAATGGCCACAGCAGTACATGACAGCAGTGGCAAGGGGTGGTGGAGGCCGGCGGAACGCGCGCGGCCCGACGCGGCCTAGGCTTTCTTCGGAGGGCGCCGCAGCAGATGCAAGGGGTCTGTCCTATAGCGTGCGAATAATTCCCGTTTAAACGTTTCGAAGTGCTTCCTGTTCCTCTCGTTCTGTTTCTCCCGCCAAAGGGGGCGCGAGCGGCGCGCCTGCAGCCCCCAGTGGATCGTGAAGATGGGCGACAGCACCCGGAACTGGTAGCCGATCAGGAACATCTCGTACACCTGGAGAACGTGGACAACCGTTACTAATTTTAGTAATTGCTCCTAATTGTAAAATGATCTTACTCCTTCCTTTTAAGAAATAATCAAATGTATATTCTTAAGATGTACAAAAATGCAAAATTACTATGTATGAATCCACATTCAAAGTATCTCACATTTCATAACCCCCGAGAAAATATATTCTTTTTAGGCACACAAAATGGCACATGTCATTGGTGAGATCTTATTGTAGGCATAACTAGTATAGTACAAAACAAGATCTAAAAAAATAATAAAAAATTATCAAATTCGCAAATTTTTATTCAAAAAATTAACAAAATAAATAACGGCAGTCAAACACAGGATTGAGAAGGGAGCATTTTATTTATATCACAGACTTGGTAAGCTTTTATGAATCGTATGCGTTTAGAGACAGAGTTGAGTTCGGTGGAGCGTCAGACGCCGGTGTTCTGCGTGACCCAGTCCCGCAGCGCGGCGACGTTGGTGAAGACGGTGGGCGACAGCGGCAGCGCGCAGCCGCGAGCGAACGACACCACGCCGTACGCCGTGCCGCGGAACACGGCCGGCCCGCCCGAGTCTCCCTGCGCACGCACAACAAATACTGTTTGTCTCTTACGTGTAGGAAAAAGATAGGGGAACATAGGATTTCTACGAGTATTGTAGACTTTTGGGTTTTATATTAAGGTCTATCAGTATATTACAGCTGGCAAACTTGCCAACTGTTTGTCTAATTATAAAATGTTCCATAAAGTAGTTATATTTAAAAACCAACGCCCACGAAATGAGACTAATATTAAAGAACTTCGTCCACTTCAAACTGTTGGTTCTTTACAATGCTCTCTTGCTTTTTTACTTTTTTTCTTTTGATCGTTTAAACCAACTTTTCGTTAAAGTATATTACTTATACTTATGGTAATATTCAGCTACAAGCGTTCAGTAGGCAATACCTGGCAGGAGGAGACGCCGCCAATGAGGAAGTGTCCGCCGCAGAACATGTTGTCTGTGAGCGCGTCGCCGTACGAGAGCCGGCACAGCCAGTGCGGCACCACAGGCACGCGCGCCTCCATCATGATGCGCGGGATGCGGCGTCCGCGCGGCTGCCCGCCACAGATATATTATACACATGAATCAACTAAAAACATCTCTTACATGCTAGCATATTAAGTAGCGTAACTGGAATGTACATTCCATGATCCCAGCATGACTGACAAACGCTTTTGCTTTCTGTCCAACTAGTTTACACTTTAAGTTGGTAGAATCTGAAGGATACAAAGAAAGGGATAAATTGGGTCCTGCTTAACATCGATGAAAAAATCTTGTTTGCTATAAAAGTAAGTTAATAGAGCCATACAGCAGTGAGCCCCCAGCCGGTGACGGTGAGGCGCACGAGGGGCACGGGCTGTCGGGGCTGAGGCAGCCTGATGGCGCGCACGGCGGTGCTGAACACCAGCGGACGCGCCAGTCGCAGCGCGGCAATGTCGTTGTCGAAGCGCGGTTGGCCGTACTGCGCGTGCACGGTCACGTTGCTGACGCCCACGATGCGCCCGCCCGAGTCCCGCCGCGTGCTGCCCACACGTAGCCGGATCGCAGACGCCGCGGTACTATGGAAAAGATTCCAAACGATGATGTCAAACAAAACCTGCGGGAACATTGGTGTGCGCGATATTATGTCAGTAGTGTCAATACCACATTAAATGGAGGCTCAATGTTCAACTCTCTAAGCAGAATATTTTTGCGAGCTTATTCAATGTAGATAACGATAAATCATGATGAGTGGACACAAATAATATCTGACTCTTATCAGCTCCGTCATCATTATCGTCATCCTTATTATTATTATTGTAGGAGCGTTATGGATTACTGTTTTGGGTATTCAAAATAGATCATAAAAACAGCCGTTATATAGCAAACTTATATAATAAAGACGATATTATATAAGTTTGATAAAGAAAACTCCTTGTAATGATGACTACTGAATATGTAAATCAAAGTCCATTTAATTAATTAACCTTCACGATAATATTCAAACCGATTGAGATATCTGAAAAAAATTCCCAAGATAATGTCACATTATCATTATAGGCGATAAAAAGATCTATTGTGGATATAAAAAAATATATTTTTTTAAACCTACCTTCTTGTAACTCTAATCTTGTTTATCAATACGTTAATTCAATTAGTAGATTATATAACACTTTGTGCAATAATAGTTTACCGTACTTACAGATATAAAAAAACTTACTTTTGAACACAGTGTGCCGCTGTTAACACGTAATCTGGACTGATGATAAAGCCTCCACAGAAAGAGTTTCCGTTCATCACCATGGACACTTGGTAGGGATGCCTTGTGACGGAGCTGGGCCTGCCGCCAATGATCTGGCCGCTCAGCTCAGGACAGACCTCCTGCAAGTCCACGTCTTGCAGTTCTGCATCCGTGCTCGGCTTTTCTCCCTCCTCTGCACAACATTCTCCTTCCGCCGTCTCCTGAACATCTACGATTATACATTCATATTAGATTACAATTATCTACGAAGCAATATTTTCCTTAGATGCAGCGTCTATCCGCAAGTTCACGCTCACAAATATTGCACCACTAGAAATCTATACAGACTCAGTTACTTTGATAAATAATTACAAAATAGAAAAATCACCTGTGCGAAACAGAAACTACCAAAATAGAATTGAAATAAAAATAACATTTATTTGGTTGTATAAAACAAAAGAGCGATACAACGTCAATAACTTAACAAATTGTGAACAAAAAATGACAACAAAGACTTACCTACGGTAGAGATAAGGCAAAGAAGCAGGTAGAGAAGTGGTCGCGGCATCGCTGAGGTGCAGCAGCAGTTGACAATGGACTAACAACAACAACAGCGGCGGCGCCGGTGGCGTCCCAATTCGAAACACTTGCACAACCGCAATTGACCGCAATCAGAAATTTCTCACGCTCAATATCCACGGTCGCGACCTTTTTGTTTCTGGTCCAACATAACCTCGGGGACCTCTGACTGATTGATCAAATCACTTTTTAGTATCGATATCTTCATTCTAGGCTATCGTAGCAAAGTTCTAGATTTAAAACAATAGATGATGTTCCTCTCTAAAGAAAGAGAAATTACACCTCTTACGAGATTTCTTAGATGATAAAGACTACTTTCATGTGTTGGGTCGATTGCGATATAAATCGCCGATCAAGAATTTTGCAAGATCTTAAAGATCCTGTTTATGTCAAATACCGTTGAGTTACCCAAAAAAATATTGATCTGCAGTGGTCATTAAAAAGTGTGATAACAGCCGTGTCCAGTTGTAACGGAGCTATAATTCGTCGACCTTCACCCGCTGAAAGATTCTGTCGGTACAAAGTACAGACTGAGAGCGAAGTATTACGTGTTCATAAAAGAAAATGTTGTTATGTCTGCGTCTCATAATAACTGAAATAATCTTCATTTCTTAGTACAGCTGTAACTATTTCATATCTAAGAATATTTAAAGAAAATCAAAAATTTTAAATTTTTTTACGACCTTATTAATAAGTACTACAACTTTATTTAATAAGATACTTTATATTGAACATTTCGTTAGGTTCATTACATTTCATACTAATAACATTCCCGCTAACGCTTATAATTCGGTACCAGCACCAACTGTAATTTTATATTAAAATTAAAACGAGACAACTGTGTCAATAACAATGTTTTACGAGCGCCGTATTGTAGAGTTTCTCGAAAATCAGCCGCTGTCGGCGATCGAGAAAAATCTACCCGCAGAAACACACTGGGCGAAATAACGCGCGCTTTGATAACACAGGTTCTAATATTACCAAATCAACATGTACGTTGTTATAATCTACATTTTTTTATACTATAAGGTGGCAGACGAGGAAGCCGCCATCTGATTTCGCCGAGAAAACGAATCAATCGCTGCCCATATATTTCCTATGCGTCTCCTCCACCGTCAAATCCACTTTCCCTTCCCATCCTTTCCGTATAAGAAAATGGTGGGAAAGGAAAGGGACTAATATTAGGGCTCCGGCACCATATACGTCAGATGAAACGCGGACTTGCTTCCACTTTACGCTTGTCTTCTGTGTTGTCGTTGAAGCGGGCTCTACCAATAAAATTACATAAAAGTTGTGTAGGAATTCGATATTTCGCAAAAAGCGCGTTTAAAACGCGCGTTTGTAGGCGCCCCATTTCTCCCAGAGCGACTAGGGGCGAGCTTATTTGTGACGACAATTCTTTTTACTGTCCGATAAAATACGAAATGTTTTTTGATCTCCGTTTGACCCATTTCAAATGATTTTATGTCCCGGTCCAATTAGAGTTTGTGCTACAGATTTGAAGTTTTCAAACTATATAGTTTGCGGTAGTGATTGTTTAGAAATGTACAATAGCATTAGTTGTTAATAAAAATTGAAATAGTATTCTCAAGTAGCAAAAGAGCAATGACCTCAATGTGCTATATAACGCAAAAAAATAAACATTTTCACTTTCATTGACTACCGTTCCTTATTACGCTGACTAGTTTGCTAAATTAAAAAAAGAAAACATTTTAATACTGTCATCATGAATTTCCAAGTTTTAAAATATGCATACGTCATAAAGCCTTACAACGATGAGAAGCGGAATAATGAAGATCTCCGGATTATTTGAATAAATTAAGTACTGCCGCTTTTCTTCTGCCCTTCATTTAACTTGTAGATTTTCAAAAATCAGTTAAACTGTGAAGGGAACAGCACTTACTTGGACCCTAGTCGACGTAGACAATGGAAGATAAGGAACTTGGTATAACCAAAGTTATAATATTTAAAATGAGAGTCTTTCAAACCTATGATACGGAAGTTAAAGTTTGGAATAAATTTAAATATACCATCATTCCTTAGTTTTACAAATGAATTAAATATGTATCATCTATTCCTTACCAACCCGCACTTGGCCAGCGTGGTTGACAATGGCCTAGTCACCCCTTATTAGGGTAGGCTCCGAGCCCCTCGGTGGGGACATATAGTGAGCTGGTGATGATGATGATGATCTATTCCTTGTTTGTTGTGTTCCTTTCTCAAAATTCATTTGAATTTCATAGAATTAAATAAAATAGTTTCCTTTCATTCAAAGGTTTTGCAAGTACTTATTTAAAAATTATGGAGCTATCTAAACGTACATAAATATATCAGGCGACTACATCTGTATGAGTTAAAAAAATATCAGATATCTAATTACAAGACATCGTGGTGTCCGAATATAAAAATAGCATGGCGACTGCCAGCTAGAGCTGAGTTCACTGCTGCCGGGGTTACGGTTATTTTAGTGATGGCGGCCGCCGTCGGCAGTCGTTTGCAGAACCATCCTCACTCAAACACATCGAATTCGTTTTATTTCGCTAATCTAATAAATAATCCTTCTAAATTGAAGTTGACTTATAATTGCGGACACATTCTACTTGCAAACAATATACTATCAAAGAGAGACAGACTTCTGTTATCTTTATAAATA